AGAATTTTTTATTTTTATTTTTGTTGATACACATAATTATATTTGAGCAATATTAAATGCAACAAAACTGAATGCAGATAATCTTGTCAATCCTGGTAGGCTCCCTCACTTATTGACATGTTTCCACATCCCTTATCCTCTTTTAGAAAATCCATGTGTCCAGCGTTTTCTTTTCTCGCTTTATTGTCTAATATTTTTTTAATTAATTGGACGTTTCACGTTTCTTATTTCTTATTTAACAAAAACTTATCACTTATAATCATTTCTATCTGTTTTTTTCGGGATTTAACTCTATCTGTTTAAATAATAATAATTTTATCTTATAAATTAAAATATATTTTTGACTATATTATTAATACACAAATTTTATTCATAACTTCATGATGAAACCTAACCCATTATTTTCAATTTGGTCTCTTTCAACTATTTTTTTTTCCGTTCACAATCTTCAAATTAGATATCTTTACGTAAATGATCCGAACTCAATTTTATTCGGACATATAGATTTTTTTTTTTAATTTTTCCCCTCATTTTCTTAAATACATATTCTTTTTGTTATCACGTTCTCATGTTGCATATCATTAATACTACAATTAATTATTATTTTTTCAATCATATAAAACTAATCTTTTATCTTTATATGTAGATTTAGTCTTCTAAACTAAATAATCCTTTGGTAAAAAAAAAAAAAATAATCCTTTTAATCTATTTTTTCTATCTCTGCATTACATTTCAACATATTTTTTTCACTAAGAAATAATAACTGATGATACATTTTTTAACTCTGCATTACATTACCTTCTGCTTATATAAAAAATTAATAATGACTGATATATTACATCTCTATTATATTTCTCTTAATTTTAGATAAATGTTTATGATTAGAAATTTATTTTGAATAATTAGAAAATTATGAGAACTATATGTGAATAATTGAAATTAAAAAATTCAAATCACATATTAAACTAAAATACAAAATTTAAACAATTAAACTGAAAGGTAAGTTCAATTCATGTGGAGGACTAAAATTGGAAAACTGGCCACAACCCAAATAAGATAATAAAACAAATAGGATGCGTAATGCGTAGGATTTGTGGGGGCATTTAGATATGTGATATCATCTGAACACAAATTTATATTGTAACAGATCGGAACTTACAAATGCTTTGCTTCTCAGCCCTGCCCTCTTCCAAGTCCCAATCCAAGTTACAGGTGAAGTAATTGTATCATCTACTAACAACATATACATACTATTCAAACCAAACGGTTTTTTTTTTTTTTTTTGGGATTAATTAATGTGCACTAAATAACTATTTTATTTAAAATAATAATGCAGTGGTGAGGAGTATGCTGACGTGGACTGGGACAGTCTTGGATTTGGATTGATGCCCACTGATTATATGTACATTAGTAAATGCTCTGAGGGACAAAATTTTGGACATGGACAACTCACTCGTTATGGAAACATTGAACTTAGCCCATCAGCTGGTGTCCTAAATTATGGCCAGGTGTCATATAAAACTTTACACTTCAAAGCTGCTATTTGGTAGTTTAATGTAGACGTACACCAGTTCAAATGGTTATTATGTTGGGAATCTAGTGCCTAAATACCATTAATTTGACTCACTGCGTAAGGGGACTATAATGAACAGCCATGTTTCAAATTTAAACAAACTGTATTGCCAATTATTGCAGATACAACGAATGTTTTTATGTTTCTAACCCATTAAGTACATTTATTTTTCATTTATTAATACGCCTTTTATTAAATATCAAGAAAAAATATGATATTAGTTGTAGAATAACTAGTTTTTGTTTGTCTGTCCCAGTTGATTGTAAATTTTTTTAGTATACAGTATAGTAGTATGTTTGAAGGTTGAAAGTGTTATGGAAATAGGGATTATTCGAAGGCACGAAAGCATACAGAAAAGAAAATGGGGGGTTGCTGCTGTTCCGTCCCGAAGAAAATGCAATTCGCATGCAGAATGGCGCGGAAAGAATGTGCATGGCATCCCCTTCCATCGATCAATTTGTGGATGCTTTGAAGCAAACGGTCTTGGCTAATAAGCGTTGGGTATGTATGAATGAGAGTTAAACTATCTAATTAGTTTGTCTCCACTTTGAATTCTAATATAATATTAAATGGTAAGCAGGTTCCTCCAGCGGGTAAAGGGTCCCTGTACCTTAGGCCTCTGCTCTTAGGAACTGGTCCAGTTTTGGGGTTGGCTCCCGCACCTGAATACACGTTCCTCATATTTGCTTCCCCTGTTCGCAACTATTTTAAGGTGCGTGCGTGCATGCATGTCTCAAACTCAAGCTTTCATTTCATTAATATCGTGTGCTTAATTTATTCGCAATGCAGGAGGGTTCGGCTCCGCTCAACTTGTACGTGGAGGAGAACTTTGACCGTGCTTCTCGTCGCGGCACTGGAAACGTCAAAACCATTTCCAATTATGCCCCCGTATGTATTATGCATTTCAGTTCTTTCATAGGGTTCACATCCTATGCATATTACCCTACTCAAATTTGCTTCTTGTCTTCACGACGTGTAGGTCTTGATGGCACAAATTAATGCCAAGAGAAGAGGATTTTCGGATGTGCTATACCTTGATTCAGTCACCAAGAAAAATCTCGAGGAGGTCTCTTCTTGTAACATTTTTATTGCCAAGGTATATTCATCTTTTTTCCCTTTAATTAATTATAAAGATAGATCAGGTGTATTATAATTCAGGGGATGTTGCAGCCTGATATATATATTTAATAGATCATAACCTGGGATAGAAAACATAAGATTGAAAAGAACAACGGTTATACGGTAATTGCAGTTGGGTTGAATTGTTACTTTCCCAAATTCGCATATGCATGTTACGACAAATTGTCAGACATATTACAACTGGCCAATCTAACTTGCTTCCAATTTCACAGGGCAAATGCATCTCAACACCCGCTACTAATGGAACTATTCTGTCCGGGATTACTAGAAAAAGTGTCATTGAAATAGCTCGTGATCATGGCTATGAGGTATGCTACATCCAAACATTATTCTGCCTTTCATTGTTTCTTGCTCAATGCTTTTTAACTTCACCACCACCCTTTAATTTCTCACATTCACTTTGAATTTGAATAATCCTTTATGGTTGAAGTTTTCAGCAACCACCTACGAGGCATCGGTCTTGTCTTATAAATTAGTAAAAATATATATATATATATATATATAAATGTTTTAATTAAGTTAATTTAAAAGGCATTGGTCTTGTCTTGTAATTTAATAAATTTGAAATAAAATACAAACAAACTTATTTACTCAAATTAAAAATGAAAATTCTTTATTTGTCTGTTTGGATGAACCACTAAAAAAATGCTTGTTTTTTCTTGAATAAGTTGAAAGAAAATAAGGAGAAGAAAAAATATATAGGTAATCAACGAAGTCTTTTTTTTTTTTTTTTTAGTTAGAGAGAAGTTAAAAAAAAAAAACTTTTTTTCTTTCCTATCAAACAAATAGAGGCTAAAAGACCCGTATCAGACACGCTTTTTTTGGACGTAAAAAATAGATATGGTTAGAATTCTTATAATTTTAGCAGTTAAGGTCATTTACACTGTCTAGAATTAATTCTTATAATTTTAGCAGTTAAGATCATTTATACTGTCTCTCTTTATTATAAAAATTAAAAAAAGGCCTTTTTAGAAGAGAATCAAGAGACTGACCACTAGAGATATTTTTGGCCAGATCATATTTGAAAATCGAAACACGTCATATATAACTTTTATCAAGTTAGAGTTTTTATTTTTTATTTTTATTTTTGTGTTTCAAATATGTTTATTGATTGAGCAAATTGCTGGTTCAGGTGGAAGAGCATGCTGTTGGCGTTGATGAAGTTTTCTGCACTGGAACTGCGGTCGGTGTTGCTCCCGTAGGGACTATCACATACAGGGATACAAGGTAAAGAATTGGTATCACTCACACTTACACTGATACACATAACGAATAAAAGCAACTTAGTAAGTATTATTATAAGAAAGTAACTTGTGTCGAGTATACATACCAAATTTAGATAATCAAGCAATAATACTTTTTTTCTTTTAATATATGAGTCGTCTTTTTTAAGAGTTTTCTTTATTCTCACTATAAAGTAACTTATCTGTCTTTTCTTGTCTTTAACATTTAATTTTTAATTATTTATATTCTCTCATTCCTTTTAAATATTATTCCTTAATTCCTGAAACATATGTTGTTATCCAGGATGGAATATAAAACAGGTTCTGGATCCATTTGTCAGGAGCTGCACAATACCATTTCAGGAATTCAAACGGGTATTATTGAAGATAAGAAGGGATGGATCGTTGAAGTTGACTAGTTGTGTGTTTGGTTTGGAAAGAGGGTGAAATCTACCAAGCACGCAAGCTATATTCGTTAACTTCAAAGAGAAGCTAAAAAATCACATCAATAACTTGTAACTAAGTGTATGCATGTTTGGAATTGTTTATTTCAATGTTATTAAATAAATTTTATAAAAAAATTATTTATCAATAAATTTCCCCTCTTGACCAAACAAATTTTTTTTTCCCGAGCATGCATCAAATTAATGTTCGCGGTGCTATTAGTAACGTTATTTAAAAGCATATTATATGTGTACAATAATGTTGTGCAGAGAAAAATTTAAGGCTAAAAAGTTTGGATTCTATTATAATATTCAATATCCTGCTCTAAGAAGTTTGTTAAAATACTTGGAATTGTGTCTTTTATATCAATCAATATCCTCAAATTGCAGTTAAGGTAGATTTTGGATATAAAAATGTGTCGGGCAAGAAAATGAAGGCAATCAGTAATTCTATCCATTGAGCGTAGTAATGCATAGTTTTGGATGAAATTTAGCTAGGAATCTAGAGATCAATTTCTACCACTTATTCATCCAGCATAGTGATAGGGCCTGAAATAATTCTGAGAGCCGAAGAGAGATGTTGGGCCATTATATGTCACATGGGCCTAAAACTTTGAAGGTTTATCCTAGCTCTGTGGCAGTAGGAGAATTTCTTCTCTAATTAATTTCCATGTTTACAATAATAATACTCACTTTTCTCTTCATTTATTTTTTGAGAATAACTTTTCTATTTTATTTTTCCCCCTTCTTTTACTCGTATGTTAATTCTTGACTTGTTTAAAAAGTAATAAATTAGTAATATAGTTTTACAAAAATCATTTCACCACATTATGAGGTCCAGGTAGCATTTGTGATAGCAAAATTCATTCGCATATAATCTTGTGGCAGTGGTATTTTCTTCTCTATCTGGGTCTGCTTGTCCTCACTCTCAATATCATTCGAGATTCTAAGCGATTCTTCTCAGTTCTCACTCACCTACGGAAGTTAATTGCATGCACGTGGCAGCTTCACAAGCAAATGAAGCTATATCTTCGTTACGTCAGTTAGCAACCCCAGCGACAACTCCAACCCGTCGTCGCTTTCTTCTGCCGTTCACGGCATACCTTCGTTTCATCTAGCTCCTTCCTAGTTACCTCTTTGAGTCAATGCCTCAATCAAATGTATGTTTAAAATCTTCGTGCATGCTATCAAATTTTATATTATTAACTGATCGTAAATTATGATTATATAATATTACTTTTGAGAAAAATATTAGAATATTCAATTAATTTATCGACCATATCGTCCATGTATAATTAGATGATTATGTACTATCTAAGTCTCTTAACTCAAAAGTTGTAAGACCCGTTCTGGAATATGAAGGGTTAACTTAGTCTTTATAAAATTGATTTTTGTTAATGCTAAAATAATATTTTACTAGCAGAAGTCAAAGATGATTATTTGCTGATGATCTAATTCAATTTCCTAGCTACTAAACATGTAGCACTTGAGCCGTTCAATTTTTTTTTTTTTATAATAAAAATAATAGATAGGGGTGACAATTTTATGATTATCGGACAAGGAACTAAAAATATGTTGGAGATCTTTAGATCAAATATTATTATCTATTCCATTTAGTGGCTAGTTGAAATTCAGTATTTATTTGCGATCTCATATCATCTAAGAATAAGATCATAATAATGTATATAAGTGGGGAGCAACCTCATCTTACAAGCTAAATTTTAAGGTTGAGTTAAGTTCTTAACTCACTTTCTTAATATTATATCAGAGCATATTAGTTAGTGGGTTTATCAAGCCTTGTTATAAGACCATTATCGAATCACCTCTAGTGTTCAGTCTTCAACGTGAGGGAGATGTGTTAGAGATTTCGCATCGTCTAGAAATAAGATTATAATAATATATATAAGTAGAAACAATCCTCTCCTTATAAGTTAATTTGTAAGATTTGGTTAGGTTTTTAACTCACTTTCGCCAAAGTAGGAATTTAACAGTTGCAATTATGTCAAACTCGGGTCTTGACTCTTGAAGAACGTAGACTCAAACTGAAATTTTTAACCATTTGTGTCAATCTACATTAATAAATAAGGTTTTGAACTGATGTTTTAAAAAAAATTGGTAACTATTTTTTTTTAAAATTTTAATAAAGATTTTAAATTTAAAATAAAAATGTATTTATTCGATGTGTTTATAAATTTGTAACTAAAAATTTAGTCAATTTACTTATAAGCAAAATTATATTATGGAATCTCAATATTTTGAATAAAAAAAGCTTTGAAAGTTAGCTAATTACCTATTTTTATCAAAGACGTATTTTTTTTTAATCTTTTGAACATTATGTTTGACATTTTTTTAAGAGAAATTTAAAGTAAATTCTTTAAATGTTTTTGACAAATTATTTTCATTGGAGATATTTATTCGAATCAAGAAAGCTCTTTTTGAATAGGACGATCATGCAGTTTGCCCAAATTACTCAGGAGATATAAAATTTAAATTTGAGAAATAAAACTAGAAATAATTAGTAAATATGAAGTCTTTTAAACCAAGCCTCTTAAAACTTTCTACTAGCGAAAAATAAAATAAAAATTCTTGATTCATTGGTTAACTATAAGGTCTACCTTGGGTTAGGACACACAAGCCTCTTAAAACTTTCTGTTAGCAAAAAATAAAAATAAGTTTCATGATTCATTGGTTAACTATAAGTCTATAAGGTCTGTCCAAGGCTGGGACACACTAGGAAAAGCTGGGTGCTTTCGACATCGATTTCTATTAGTATTAAAATAATATTTAGTTAATAAAAGTTATATTTCACAAGAATAAGTTAATTTTTGGTTACTAGCTTTAAAATATTATATAAAACATGTTTATAAATAAAAAAAATATGAAATATTTAATTGACAATGTTATCAAGTGAAATTATATTTGAATATTCTAATAAGGGTATTTTTTTATAAATCAAGGAATCCTTGAATCGAAAGTTAAGAACTAATCTTCTAACATAGTAAGATCTATTTAAGAAATTAACTTCTCTAAAAAAAATATTTTTCCTTACATAAGAATCAAGAATATCACATTTTTTTTATTCATCAAAATTACAATAACAATATCACGATTTGAACTTAAAATCTTGTGTATATTATTCCAACTCTATACTTCTAAGCCAATCTTAATGATTCTAATCACATGCTTAAGATATATAATTATTTACCAATCATGTCACGCATTATTAATATAAAGGTATGGATTTAAGTCTTTTGAATGAAAAACCGTAATCAAGAAAGGAAAACCTAATAAAGATGGTTAATCATATTCTTTAACAAGGACTAATTATTAACAAAACTAATAAATACTTCCCATTAATAATATAGTGATCCCAACTACATACTTTTATACATGTTGATCATATTTAATTTTTAGTTGTGTTTAATTAAAAAGTAAAACTTACTTTAACAAACTCTCCTCTTAAAAAAAATCTTATCAATAAATTAGAGGCTAAAATATATTTTGATCATTTATCTTGTTGTAAAAATCTATTTCGATCTTTTAATTTTTAAATTTGAGATAGTGTTTGGTGCACAATTTGAACCTTATTTTAACTTATTCAATGTGATATTTGTTCGCATTAAATTTACTTACATGAATATTATGAAATTCAACTAATATTCAAATTATGGTTTGAATAACCAAAAAATTCATTAATAAAATATATATTATATACTTTTTTTAGTTTTTTAATCATATTTTTTTAGTTGTGACTCATTTTTCACACAATTTTAAATAATTTACGTTCTCTTTTGACTCAAATATTATTTAAGTTCCATAATTTTCATATAAATGTATCTAATCTAAGTCTTAATTAGAGAAATATATAAAAATTGTACATCAAAATTAAATATAATTATTATTTTAAAATAAAAATAGTAATTCAAATTTATAAATCAAAAGACGAAAACAAATTTTTATAATAAGATAAAAGATTAAAAAAATATTTTTATCTAAATTATAAAAAAGAACGTTAATAATACACTCTTTACATAGTAATTTTTTAACACACTATTTTTGGTTGGTTGATTTTATTAAACATAACAAAATTACGTAAGTGTCCCATCTTATCTGGGTCATAATATATCAACATTCATTGGGTGAAGGTGCATGCACTATGGTGATGCATTAACTATATATACGCTGAGTTGGACTTACAGCTACTGAAAGCCGTCACATAGAATAAATATAGCGTACTATATTCACTGTTCAATGCACCCATCTCAATCATCTCACCAATCACCATGAAAAGTCAAGTTCTCAGACTCTCCATCTTCAACCCTTCATTTTCACTACTCACAAGGAAGTTCTGCAATATTCCAATTCCGCACTCACTTTATGACAATATAGGAAACTTTGATTCGACTTTCAACGTAGTTGAATTTTATGTTTAAATTCACTTAATTATCTAACTTCTCTTATCATATTCCTTAAACAGAATGCAATATAGGAATACTTGAATTTTAGAGATAAATAAATTAATTTTTTAAGATTGAGTTAGATATTAAACTTGATTGACAAAAGAATAAAAGTTTTTTTTAAAAATAATAAGCTAATTTTATAAAATAGTGTTAGACATAAAACATACTCCTCGTTTTCTTTTTCTTCTTATTTATAAACAACGATAAAAATAAAAAGAATTAGCAAGAGAGAAAGTTGGTTTCAGCTGTATTATTGACTACTACGGAAAGGGATTGTGGAGAAATGATTGAATTTGAATTTTCAAACTTGCAGGTCAAATCAAACATAGAAATTAGATCGTTATATGGACCAATTCAGCAGCGGTAGAGACCTTTGTCGTTACACTTCAATTCAGCTTTTGTTTCCTCATTATCATCGTTTTTTCAATCGCATCTTTTTTGACTGCATCTTTATTATGTTTCAAAAGATGATTAATTGATGGTCAATAAAAACAAGTACTACTCAGAAAAAAAGATACATGTAGAGCTTCTTTTAGGCTTTTAGCTCCCTCTCCTGTTATCCGTCTCATGAATTATTTTAATTGGTACATAATGCTTCGGTTGACTCCGTAATTCGTTTTGTACGGTCAAAATTCATTTGAACATATATAATCAATCAAACATATGCTATGTTTCATTGGATGAAAAAATTAT